TTCTTTCTTTCTTTCTTTCTTTCTTTCTTTCTTTCTTTCTTTCTTTCTTTCTTTCTTTCTTTCTTTCTTTCTTTCTTTCTTCTTTCTTTCTTTCCAACAAGATTTTAGATGATGCTTTTCTTTTTCCTTTGCACACCTACCTACCCTCTTCCTCCCAAACAAGCCTCATGCCTCAGGGAAAAATTCTTTCCCATTCTTTTTGTAGAAGGTTGACCACTAATCCTGGCTAAATCAGCTGAAAGTGTCCATTACTGGAGCAACCTCTGGGTTGCCGAAAAGCCCAGCTCTTCATTGGTCCAGAGATCTGAGAGTGGTCCATCAGTCTTACTCAGCTCACATATTGTTTGTCAACTCTTTATATTTCCTTATTTAAGACTCAGAACAAACATCACCTTGACCTTGATAAAGAAATTGAGGTCTAAAGAGCTAAGAAACTTGTTCAAGTTCACATAGCAAACCTGGACTTCAGCTCCCCTACTCCACCCCAAGGCTAAGCTCTGAGGAGCTGGCTCTGCGGAGCAGAGTTTCTGGGATCTCAGAGAGCATCAGGAGAGAGCTGCTGCTGAGTGGGTACTGTCCTGGTGTGTTCCTGGGGCACCTCAAGGGACACTGGGCTCACCTTTCCCTTCCTCTCTCTACTGTGGTGGCCTCAGCTTTGGCTCCAGCGCTGCCTGGGCTGCTGTGGGATTGAGCGTGGGGAGGCCCATCAGCTTAGGAGGAGGAGGCTTCTGGACCCTGAGGAGAACCTGGACAGCATTTGGCTAGGTGGCATGGACCTGAGCCGGGGCAGAGATAAAGCAGCTACAAAGAGGCTGATGGGCCAGGCAGGCTGGGTGGGGCTGAAGGCGCGTTCTCTTTTGAGGACTCAAGTGTTAATTTGACCCGGTGTTTGCATTTTCCTTTGCTATGGCTTGGGCCTAGATGTCCCCCCCAAAGCTGCATGCAGTCATAGGTGGCTGAATGTAGGGTGTGTGATGCTGGGATTAAGGGTTGGTGCACCACCCTAATCTCTCGGTAGCCAAGATATAAAATAAGGGACTGAAAGAGGCTTGTCTTTGCCCCTCATTGCTTTTGCTATTTTCTGCCCACCCTGAACTCTTTCTCCTCTGCGATGCCCTTCTGCCAGGCCACCCTGCCTTGGAGCCAGCCAATTATGGACTAAAACCTCTACAAACTGTGTCTAATTTTGGGTGTCGGGTATTTTATCTCAGCAACGAGAGAAAAGTAACTAAGACAACCCTTCACAGCACCTCTACCTGTATTCTTCTTTGCCCTTCATAATATCCTGAAACCAAAGCTGACTTGGGCATATCGTTCCCATTTCCCTGACCGAGAAACTGAAGAAGAAAACCAAGAAATGGCAGAGACAAGGGAGAGGGAAGTGGATACAATAAATGAGCAGCTATTACGCACCAGTGCCAACAGTAACTAAACCTTCTCAATGAG